ATTACCAACTGCTGAAGGCAGTGAGTTACAACTGTACTCAAAGAGCAATCAAAAAATTAACATGTGCGGGATAGATGACTTAAAAGCAGTAAAAAGTTACCGCCTACTACTGCATTTTTCCGGCCGGGAAGTACTGTTGAAACTTTTTGGTTATCTTGGAAAATCCAGAAGTCGCCACTAAGTAAAATGCAGAAAATTACTAGGATGTAGAATTTCGGCTTGTGTTTGTAATACTAGGCATTCATGCCGTGCTTTCACCATGGCTACGGTAAAGTAAAATAATCTGTAGGAAGACGAAGGAAAGCAACAGCGATTTTCACATCTCAGTTGCTTGTTTGTTTATTTACTTGGAAGTGTGTTCGTATAGACTGTTGTTCTGTGGACTGGTCATGATTCGCCCCGACTCTCCGGCCTACTCTAAAGAAGACAGAAATAGGAAGAGAATGCCAGAAACAACAACAACGATGGACAGCCAGTGTCCCTTCTCACACAAATACTGTTTTCGAAGGAGATGGAAATTTGGTGTAACTGGAGAATGCAGCGGACAGGCGGGCAAGAGATAAGATGGACGACGGCCATCCCAGTTCAGACGATTGCGGCAATCGATCATCCGTACTCCTCGTCTTGCTTCATCCTTGGACTCTCTTGTCCCAGAGCGTATCGCCGGGGACCATCAAGTCGACCGAACTGTTGATGAATTTCACTGAAGGGGCATGTTATGATATTCTGTTGAGTTCCTGCCTCTTTCAAAGAAACAGTTCGTTCATAAGCCAATTAACATTCAGTTTAATCGCTGTTTAAATGCAGTTCATGACTTGTTAATTCATCAGTAAACACAACACTGAATTTGTGTATAAGTCTGTGGTTTTATTACCACCTCATTATTATCTTATTACTATTATTATTATCATTATTGTTATTAATAATAATAATAATAATAATAATAATAATAATAGTTATTATTAATGTTATTATTATTATTATTATTATTATTATTATTATTATTTTTATTATTTCATCATCATTGTTACTGTTGTCATCATTATTACCATCATTGTATTAGTGCTGGTAATAACAATGTTAATTATGTCTCGTTTAAAGTTTTGGGAAATTTAAAAATTTTTCATGATCTTCGGTCCCAAGAAACAGTACTTGGGACATTTCCTCAGAATAGATACAGTATCGAGTGTTAGTGATGTAACGTTTACAGGTTTCCGAATTTGGTTGGTGACGAAAGTGAGAGCGATGCTGCAAATGGTTTCAGCACATTCGATCCGCTGATCAAAATCCGCTGCTCGTCGCAACTCAAATTCTTCCTCTGCTCCATCTATTTCCCGATGTGCACTGATAAGGTTTGTTTGTTAAAATTTTGAGGCTGAATTTAGCAAAACCAGTCATCTTGGAGTTTTAAATAAAATTTAATGCTGTGGTGAGTGTGCCAGTCTTCACGCATTCTCATATAAAAATAATTGGCCAACGCACAGGCTGCCCGTGCGAAAATGCGTTTTTTGCAGAGTTCCCCGCAGCTTTTGTCGTTGGCCAACGCACGGGCTGGCCGTGCGAAGATGCGTTTTTTGCAGAGTTCCCCGCACTTTTTGTCGCCACCGGCATCGGTTTTTTCGGCAGATGCTTCTAGCTGAAAGAATTTCAGACTGGCCGCCAGAACTGTCAGAAAACACTTTTCGGCAGATGCTTCTAGTTGAAAGAATTTCAGACTGGCCGCCAGAACTGTCAAGAAACATCCCTCAGATGCTTCTAGCTGAAAGAATTTCAGACTGGCCGCCAGAACTGTCAGGAAACATCTCCTCAAAATTCCAGTCTTCTACCTTCTCACGTCCTCGAGTAAATAACTTACCCGGAAGGAACTTTCACGAGG